GATGTGAATTGGAGCTATAGAAATAAACTGAAACTGAACTGAATGGATTTCTGGATTTGCAGCTTCTCTGTTTTCTTCTGCAATTCATGCATGCAGGCTGTAATAGACAAATATAGGCTAAAAAAGTTTTTTTTACAGAGTATCAGCAAGAATTTAAATCTACTTTCCTGCCTGGTAGAAGGTTGGTATATTTGCACAGAAGTTAGGAATCCGTTAAAGACGCACGGCGGACGATAGAGATGAACCCTGGGGAACATTTAAGGACAATAAGACAAGAAAGACAGGCTGAGAGTTCAGCTGGAACAGCTGGGTGAGAAACCGTGGTGCTGGGAGGCAGAGGTCACCATCAGGAGGAACTGGTAGGACGGGTGGGGGGCAGGTCAATCAGGGAGTCAGTCATGCTTTAGTGTAAATCTAATCTAAATCTAAAACCATATGTAAAAGAAAGTCAAAGTGGCTCCCCTTCTGTACGCTGGCATCATTAGACAGACGGATCAAACCTCTGAGAGGCCAGTAAGACCAGAATGTCTTGTTCTCTCCAGGTGAAGCTCACCGTGAGGACAGTTAGCAGCTCATCCGCCGTCAGCTCAGCCCTCAGCTGCTCCTTAAACATCCGGATGGTCGGATGCTTCAGGTAGTAGTAGGAGGCAATGCGTCCGTATGTCAGGGGCTCCACTGCCTGATCGTCCTGATGGGAAAAAAAAACAGTTTCTGGGTCTGAACATGAACACCAGCAGTTAGATCTTCAGCAATGGGTACGCACCTCCTTTATCTCTATGCAGTAGGAGCATTCCAGGTCCCGCAGGCTGTTCGCCACCAAGCCGGACAGATATTTGTTAATGGAGTCATGGCTGACGTCTTCCAGGTTGTAGTAACTGAAACACAGACAGTCGTGGTTTAGGAGGTCAGCCTGTTTCCTTCCATTTAATCCCACTGACTGATGGCCGTTCTGCCCAGTCCACACAACTGGTCCAGGTCTTTCTGGGTTCTTTGAGGAAAACTTTAGTTTAGGCTGTGGTGTTTTTTGGAGAGAGAAGCTCATGAATCCCTGCAGCCCCCAGAACTTTATAACAGTACCCAGGACCTGCTGACAGTCCGTTACAGATACATCAGGGTTCTGGAGGAACAGACTCTGCTTTTTGGGTAAACTCGGATAATAAGAATGAGCATTATATATGAATAAATCAGGCCAGCAATGTAGATGAATAAGAAATTAGCTGTCCTTTATAGCTCGTATGGATTTGGTCAACAAAATTCAGAAATGATAAATATTAACAGTAAACATTCAGAGTAAAAATGGGAAAAAAGAGGCTGATTCTCAAGAGACTTTAGTAAAAAACATCTTCCATGGAGCTAGCTTTCAGGCTATTAAAAAGCCCAACAGAAAATGAGTCCCAGGGTGGGCCATCATTAGGGGACATGAGAAGAGGCCAAATGGGTTCCATGTTGGGCTCACAGATGTAAGAGTTTCCACATGAGCCTCAGCAGGAGGCTTTGTCAGTTCACTGCCAAGATCTGTGTGGAGTTTAAGGGGCGGGGCTTTTAAAGGGCGCTAGAGACAGCAGAGCGCCGGACAGGAAATCAGACCAAAATCACTGGAAATCTAACAAAGCAATCTATCAGAAGCATCATCTTTGAAATAAACTATCTGATTTTAGAAAAAAATCCATAGAAATCAAAATTATTCTCACCACGGGACAAATAAAGGAGAGCAGATATTTGGATTAAAGCAGTGACACCTCCCGACAGCTGCTGATCAGTCTATTTATCTTTGGTGATGAACTTTAAATCTTTAAGGATGGAAGGCCTCCTGACCATCACCCTAAAGCCGGGCGTACACTGGGCCATATTTTCAATCGTTGCACCAACAGCAGCTCTACAGCTCATGTTTGTTCTCACGCTGTGCGACCCGACGCTCTGATGCGATCTACCTGCTCACACTGTACGTCTAAAAACCAGGCAGTGAGATGGCGCTACTCGGACTCGTCTATCTGGAAGCAGAACCAGTAGCAGAGGAACATGAAACTCACTAGAGTGAAACGCGCTGCCTTGGATATTTGGGTAATTTAGTGCTGAAAGCCCTAAAAAGAAAAGGAGACGACGTATTTGGACAAAGACATGGCTGAGCTAACGTGGCTACTACGGTCTGTCAGTTTGACAGAAAGAACTCCATTTCACTCATTGCCCCCCCGCCATGCTGCTGGGTTTTCCTCTGAGAGGAAGAAGAAGAAGAGGAAGAATCCATGTTTGCACATTGAGCGATTTGCCCACGACCA